CACAACAATGACACACCCACAAACAGCCACAAATAAAAAATTCCTCAGACATAAAGAGAAAACAGTTTCTACTTCTGTAATTACAATAAGTACAAAATAGTCTGCTCAGGCAAAGACCAGCACTGAAAATAATATATAAATAGTTTCTATTCTTTCTCAGCAAAAGACAATTAACAATCCAAATTTCCACAAAATAGGTGACTATGTGTGTAGCTTTGCATTTCTAAAATCTTTGTTTTTCCTTGTCTTCTGATCATGCTTGCTTATATACAACACATTAATTTACATTTCTAACTATTTGTCCCTTGGAAAGTTCTTTGAAACCTATATATATATGTGAAAAGTGCTATTCAAATACAAAATATCCTTAACTACAAAAAATATTTACGTTTGTATTCCAGTGATCACAACATCATTAGGTTTAGAGTATTTATGGAAAGGGACAAGGAGCAATCAAAGATGATGATACTCAACTGGAAGAGGGCTAATTTCAGTGAGTTGGAAAGGAACCTAGCCAAGGTGGACTGGAAAAAAAGATTGACAGGTAAAAAAGCTATCAAGCAATGAAATGCCTTCAAAGAGGAGATAGTTTGTGGACAGGACAAATGCATTCCCACAAAGGGAAAAAGTAGGGCATCCAATCCTCCTTGGATGAATAAGAAAATTGGGACAAAATAAAACAGAAAAAGGTTTATGATAAATGTCAGGTCCAAAATACAGAAGATAATCAAATGGAATATAGAAAGTACAGAGGAGAACTGACAAAGGAAATAAGAGGGGCAAAGATATTGTAAGAGAAAAGATTAGCAGGTAATATAAAAGGGAACCCTAAGGTATTTTGCAAGCATATAAAGAATAACAGATTAGTCAAAAGTAGGGTGGGGACAATTAGGGACCAAAGAGGAAATCTTGTGGAGGTAGAGGGCATGGCTGACAGACTGAATGAGTACTTTGCATCTGTTTTCACAAAAGAGGATGCAGCCAATGCCACAGAATTGGAGGAGAGGATAGAGAAATTGGACAAGATAAGAATAAACAGAGAGGAGGTACTAAAAAGGTTGACGGTGCTCAAGGTAGATAAGTCACCCGGTCTAGATGGGATGCATCGTAGGTTACTGAGGGACTTGGATATAGGGAGTACAATTTCCAAGTTTGCAGATGATACTAAACTAGGAAAAGTAGTGAACAGTGAAGAGGATAGTAGCAGACTGCAAGAGGACATAGACAGACTGGTAAAATGGGCAGACACGTGGCAGATACAGTTTAATGTGGAGAAATGCTAAATGATGCATTTTGGGAGGAAGAATGAGGAAAGGCAATATAAGCTGATAGTACAATCTTAAAAGGGGTGAAGGAACAGAGAGACCTGGGGGTTCATATAAGTAAATCTTTGAAGGTGGCAGGACAGGTACATAAAGCTGTTAAAAAAAGCATACAAGATACTAGGCTTTATAGTTATCAGGAGAGGTAGAGAAGCTCGGATTATGCTCCTGGAGCAGAGACAGTTAAGAGGAGACTTAACAGAAGTTTTCAAGATTATGAGGGGATTCGATAAGGTGAACAAGGAGAAACTATTTCCACTGTTGAGGGGGATCGGTAACCTGAGGACATTGATTTAAAATAGTTGTTAAAAGAAACAGAGGGGAGGTGAGGAGAAGTTTTTTCAAACAGTGAATTGTTTGGATCTGGAATGCATTCCCTGAAAGGATGGTGGAAGCCGATTCAATAACAACTTTTAAGAGAGAAGTAGATAATTATTAGGGGAGGACAAGTTTGCAGGGCTATGGGGAGAGAGCGGGCGGAATGGGATAGATTGGATAGCTCTTTTCAAAGAGCCAGCACAGATACGATGGGCTGAATGGCCTCCTTCTGTGCTGTATAATCCTACGATTATTATAAAATGCTTATAAAATACACAATGCTTATAAAATCAAGATGATTTGATCTATTAACAAATTGGCTTCCAGGGTGCAGAAAATGTCTACAACTTCCCTCCAAGTCTGCCTTGCTGGCCAATAAGCCCTCTCCCCTCCCCAGATAATTTCGGTCATTAGCTTCATGGCTATAGGCAAATTGATTGTAGTTTTCACCTAAAGATACAATCATTCCTTTTTACAATAAATCCTTGGAGATGCTGTGATGCCATGATAAGGCAGTATATCAAATGCAAATATTATGATTTATTATTATTATAATTGCAGACCTTGCCTGGCATATCTCTGTGGATTTAGTTAATCCTAGAAGGAATGTGCTTCCAAAACCCTACTGCCTGCCTCATTGTAATGACCTGGAAGGGAAAGAGCAGAGCCTTCAGTTTTCACACCCAACGAATTGACTTGTTAAACCGAGGTCCTGTCTCCCTGCTTAGGTGGATAACAAAGATGCCATACCATTGTTTGAAAAAAAATGAGTTTCTGCTGGCTTGGTGTCCTGGTGATAACTACCCTCACCCCCCCACCCCCAAAAATTAATTCACTTCATGGCTGCGTGTGGGACCTTGCTGTGTGCAAACTGACTATAATTACAGTCCCTATACTTGAAAACAATTACTCTCAAAGACCTTTGAGATGGTTGGACATTACGGTTGGACATTACGGGTGTAAAATACAAGGATAATTTGTTACAACCCAGAACCCTCCAGCTGGTGCTGTTCGTAAAATGTGAAAAATAACTCTGTCCCTATTATAATAAACAGCATCAATATCACACAACAAGATTACATTTGTATAGCACCTTTCACATTGGGAGGGTGTCCCAAGGTGCTGGACAATGTATAGTATTTCAGACCTGAGCTGGGGTCATGGGGGGGGGAGGGAGGGGAGGGGAAGGGAGGGGTTTGAGGTGGGACTTGAAGGAGGCTAAGGAGGGGGCGAGGTGGAGTGATTGGGGGATGGAATTCCAGAGGTTGGGGGCAGGGTGGCTGAAGGCTCTCCCGCCAATGATGGGGCGGGTTGGTCAGGGGACGTGGAGCAGGCCGGAGCCGGCTGAGCAGAGGGAGCGAGCGGGTTATAGGGGGTTAGGAGGTCACAGAGGTAGGGTGGGGTGAGGCCATGGAGGGCTTTGTAGATGAGGACCAGGATCTTGAACTGGATCCTCTGAAGGATAGGGAGCCAATGGAGTCTGGCGAGAATGGGGGAGATGGGGCCATGGAGTTTAGTGCAGGAGAGGACATGGGCTGCAGAGTTCTGGATTATCTGCAGCCTGTGTATACCCTTCACACAGAATAGCGCCCCAGAGCACTGCAGAGTGTCGATTGCAGAGTTGGATCCTGAGCAAAAGGGAAGGTGGGGGGATGAGTGGCCATAGGCATGGTTGAAGCTGTGGGTCTTAAGATGGGAATTGGGTTTTGCCCGCAAAACATACAGTTAATCCACTTTACAGTATATTCTGTGATGCGCTTTGAGACATCTCGACAGCGTGATAAGGCGTGTATCAAATGGAAGGATTATTGTTAAATATAGATTAAGGGGGGGAGGGGGAGGACAGCTAAGAGATGCAACTCTCAAACTTGGTGCACTCACTATTGACGTGGTTGCTGTCAATTGGTTGGACGATGCACTGCTGCAACCCTCTTTATTAGTGACTTACCAACGTGTGCACAGTTCTACCCCCAACTAATCCTTGTATTGCTTTGCTACACCTGATTTGTGCGGGTGTGTGCAGTGGTTGCAGTAGAGTAGAGTAGACCAGAGCTCCCTCAAGGATCTCCTCAAGGATGTTAGCGTTCAGACCGGGATGGATGGCTCGAGTTGCTGGCCAGAGGACTTGATTCCTGTTGGATCACCGGAGCAGAGTCCTATCCCCCAACCCTTGGGGCAGTGTCTCTTGACCTTAAGTGAGGGTTTCTGCACATCTAGTGGTCTTAAGGCAGCTTCAGCGAGGGAGGCCATCCCCTGCTGTGGGATTGTAACGTAACATCAGCGTGCAACTCAATAGCTGCCAAGACACGAGCAAGGAGGGTTGGAAGTCTGCAGGTCTGCGCCTTGAGGAATGAATGAATGAATGAATAAGTTATTCATCCTTATGAATGCATTGAGTTTATTAAGAGAATAGAGAAGTGTAGCTTGTGTCTGGCCACTCACTAGTCGTTCCTCTCTACCTCAGCGTCACACTTCTCTTTGCCCTTCCCCACCTGTGTGGTGTATGTGTGTGTGTATGTGTGTGTCTCTCCTCAATATATCAAGGGGGCTTCCTTCCTTCCTTCCTTTCCCACCTTCTCTCTCTCTCTCTCTCTCTCTGTCTCTCTCTCTCTCTCTCTCTCTCTCTGTCTGTCTGTCTGTCTGTCTGTCTGTCTGTCTGTCTGTCTGTCTGTCTGTCTGTCTGTCTGTCTGTGTCTGTTTCTATCTCTCTCTCCAATATATCAAGGGGGGCTTCCTTCCTTCCTTTCCCACCTTCTCTCTCTCTCTCTCTTTCTATTCCCCCTCCCCTCTGTGTCTCTCCCACCCCCCACCCCAATATATCAAAGGACTTTCTTACTATCACCTTATCTCTCATCCTCTTTGTGTGTCTGTCTCTCTGCCCTTATACATCCATCAAGGTAGTTTCCCCTCCTCCCTCCCTCCCTCCCTCCCTCCCTCCCTCCCTCCCTCCCTCCCTCCCTCCCTCCCTCCCTCCCTCCCTCCCTCCCTCCTCCTCCCTCCCTCCCTCCCTCCCTCCCTCCCTCCCTCCCTCCCTCCCTCCCTCTCCCTCCCTCCCTCCCTCCCTCCCTCCCTCCCTCCCTCCCTCCCTCCCTCCCTCCCTCCCTCCCTCCCTCCCTCCCTCCCTCCCTCCCTCCCTCCCTCCCTCCCTCCCTCCCTCCCTCCCTCCCTCCCTCCCTCCCTCCCTCCCTCCCTCCCTCCCTCCCTCCCTCCCTCCCTCACTCCCTCCCTCCCTCCCTCCCTCCCTCCCTCTCTGTGCGCCTCTCCTGGCCAGTTGGTGGGCTGGAGGACAAAGTGATGGAGCTGATGGAGAGAGCGTGGGGCTCGGGTGGTACCCAGTGAGATGCCCTCAGCCCCTGGGAGATGGCAATCCCTGGGACCCGAGCAGCCCCTGAGGACCTCAGGCTGGACAGCAACGTGTCGGTGTCCATGTCCCCGACCACCAACACCAGTGCGCAATCCACCGCCGACTACGATGATGAGTTTATCCGCTATTTGTGGGGAGAGTATCTGTATCCCAAAGAGTACGAATGGGTTCTCATCGCAGCCTATATTGCGGTGTTCGTTGTGGCTCTGGTTGGCAACGTGTTGGGTGAGTGCAGTGCAGTGCAGTCCAGCTGCCTTTTATTGCTGGGCTACTTTACTTTATTTATTACTACTTTACTGTGTTTATTAGTACTGTAGGTTTTTTTTTCCCCCCCACCACCCACCCACCACCCTCTCTCTCTCTCTCTCTCTCTCCAAAGCTGCCCTTGAAACCTGTCCTGTCTTAAAGCAGAAGCAACGACTTGTTCCACACTGTGATAGGAAGTGTTCACTGTGGTTAAAATGGTTAAAATGACAATTATTAACTTAACTCTCTTCCCCAGGCTGAGGATCTGGATTGGGAGTGGATGTTACTGAGAAGCTGTGAGGTTGTCACTCACTTTAGCTGCTCCTGGAAATCCAGTGCTCCACTTCGAATAACCTTCCGACGTGGAAGTTGCTTTGTGAATGCAATTTGTTGTTCAATATTACAATCATGTCAAATATTTTTATTCCCTCCCAGTCATTTGCAAACTACAATGAGCCTCTCTGGTTTACGTGTGCGCGTGTGTCTCTCTCTCTCTCTCTCTCTCTTGGAGAGCTGTCACCTCCCAAATAACACAAAACGTGCGCAATTTGTCATCGAGTCTAAACAAAAAATCAAACACGGCCAAATCCAAAAAGATTAATTTGAAAAAAAACTAGTTAATAATCTTCGCATTTGATATAGCGCCTTATTACGTCTTCGAGACGTCTCAAAGCACCTCACAGGATATACTGCGAAGTGAATTGACTGTGTATTTTGTGGGTGAAACATAGCATCCAGCTGCGTACGGTGATGAACCACAAGCAGTCATGGATTGAGTGACCAACTTTTATTTTATTTTTACAGCTGACGGCTCATTGCAGTTTATGTTGGTCCAAATGCTATTTTGCCTGTTAACGTGGGGGGCCCTGAATAATGACCTTAATACCCGACTGATTGTTTTTGAGACTGATCTTGTGACTGTCCTGCAAGACCTGGTCTAATGAAGGTTCACATCAGTGTTTTAAAAGATAAATAACATTGCCCTCTCCTTATTGACCCTGTCCCCTCATGTAGACAGTTGGGCTTTTACCCCGAAAGGCAGTATTTTCTGTTTTTGTTAAATGTGGTTATAATATTTCAGATAGTCCTGGGGTTGGGCATTATTCTCAAGCGCTCTGAGACGCTGCCCAGGATGAAGGGAGCTGTATAAATGCAAGTTGTTATTGCTGTTATTGACATGTTGTTGCTGTGAAGTGCTTCGTAAAAGCTGCTGTATTTCAGGTCGCACCTGATTCCTTCCTCTTCCACTGTGCCTACGGTCCTTCCCCCCGACTCTGTATCGTGATATATCACTGTCAAGTGCTCTGGGACGCTACCATGTGTGAGGGGCGCTATATAAATGCAAGTTGTCGTTGTATCAAATATAAGGATTATTATTGTTCCTGATTAACATCCCTTCCCCCACCGACACTCTTTAGCCTGGAGTTTCCTACTTAAACTTCACTGATTTGCTACCTGCACAGTTGGGGAAGAATCCCACTTGGGTCTAGACATTCTTCAGAGGGGAGCAGACTTCGACAAACTCTTAAAATGAAGCCAGTTTTCTGTAGGTTTAGAGGGGAAAACATCAGCTTCATTTCCAGAGTGCATTTAACAACTTTGTCAAATTCTGCATCCGCTGACTTGCTGAGAAAATCAAGTTAATTCCACACCCAGGTGGAATCGTTTTTAAAAAAAAACAAGTCTCATTCGAGTAAAGGGCCAGGAATGGTGGACTTAAACACTAGATGGAGTGGGAGATGGAGAGGTGGAATTGCTGAAAGCCATTGATTTTTTTCTGTTTGATAAAGTGATTAGCCAGTGCCCTGGCACCATCCATCTGGTGCAGTCAAACACCATACTTCATGCCTAGAACTGAAACAAATTTAGTATCCAACCTGGCGAATGGGAATGAAACCTTGAAATGACTGTACAGGACATCAGGCAGACTGACCGTGGAGCCCACAGTGAGTAAACCTGGTTAGAAGTGAGAGAAATCGATGTAAACACATCTCTCTCTCTCTCTCTCTCTCTCTCAGTAGCAGTTCTCTGCTGCCACCGTCACTGCTGTTCTTGCGAAGGAGGAGCGTGGATAGTTTGGGTTTAGTGTAAAACTCATCCGCAAACACATTCTCATTCTGCTGTACAACATGCGGATCGCATCACCGAGTTTTAATGAGAAAAACACTCCGGTGTTCAGACATTGCTGGAGTTGCTTTCATTAAACGCTGGTTGAAAGTTGCTGTCATTAAATGAATACAGGGTGACAGTGTCTCTCTTCAAACGTGGGGTGAATGGGGGTGGAGTGGAGATATTGTTTTGGAGTGCTCTGGGACGCTACCCTGTGTGAGGGGCGCTAATAATGCAAGTTGTTCTTGTTGAAGTGGAAACTGATTTGATTGAAAGCCATGCCATTCTTGTTACAGCATTTACTTTGATGATTTTCAGTAGCCTTTCGTGATCAAGTCTGATGTATGTGTGACAGCACTTTATTGAATGCAGTATGTTTGGCGCATTGGGTGGATAACCAGCGTTTAAATGTTAAACAGCTGGGAATGAAACATAGACACTTAAATCCTTGTTAACTTGGCACCAACATTCCCATTGCCAGGCAGTATTTCAGCTTTTCACACATTTACCAATGAGACCCATTTTGCAGTCGGATTGGACGGGAGATGCCCAAGCTTGGAAATGCATTGGGGACACAATCCCACACATTTTCTTCCTCTCTCTTTCCCCCACGCCCCTCCCTTTTGCAAGTTGTCAGTGAAAAAGGAGTCGCCACAACTCTTAAGATGTTGCAGCAAATCTGAGCACAGAATTTGTGCTTCTGTTCACACATGAGGCAAACCTTCGAAGTGGGAAGTGCACATTTAAGCCAGTGCTCCACATTCGGGTTTTGATTTGCAGTAATATAATAATTCTTGCATTCAATATAACACCTTATCATGAGACATCTGAAAGTGTTCACAGAATATATTGTAAAGTGAATTGACTGTATTTTGTGGGCAAAACACAGCAGACAATTACACACAGCAATGTCCCACAAATGTGGATTAAGTTTGGTTGTCATGGATTGAGTGACCACATTTTTTTTGAGGGATTATTACCCATGGAAAGCAATTTGCCAAATGACTAACAATCGGGTTTCTACTTTCTGCTAGGTAAGTAGAGGCATGTGGAGTTGGAGTAAGGAAACTTGCCTAAGGTTTCACCCTGGCTGGGAATCGAATCGGGGTCTTCTTGCTTGCGAGGGGAGAGCGCTAACCACTACACTATGGGCTTCCACAATCCAGTACAATAAACCCCCGGTTTACTGGACTGCGGGAATCCAGAATTTGTATCTGGCGAGACCGAGCCCGGAACAGAAAAAATTTAAAAGAATTCCGCTGGCCCCAGTCTCCAAGGGTGGCCATTCTTTGCTGCCCTTCAATGGCCAGGGACTTAGATAACAACAACTTGCGTTTATATAGCACCCTTCATGCGAGGTAGTGTCTCGGACTGCTTAACAGTGGCAGAGACTGACACCGAGCTGGGGAGGGGGGATGACTGAAAGTCTTCAGATGTATTCTGAAAAATGGCAAGGCGAAGGGATTGAGGTTCCAAGGTTTTAGGCGTAGAGGCTGAAAGCATGGCTGCTTATGGTGGAGACAAGGGGCAAGCAGGAGACTTATTCACTGTCTTCTGCTCGCAGGATTCAAACAAATATCAGCATTTACCGGCTTATTGAGTAGAGTTTAGAAATCCCAAACCATCTGCATGGCTATAATCTAAGAATATAGATCAGTTAATTGGATACCAGATATACAAATACAACAACTTGCATTTATATAGTGCTGCTCACGCAGAGCACTTAAAATACAATTTATTGAATAAATTTCCCCATGACCGTTCGTGTAAAGAAAAACATTTATAATAATAATCCTTGCATTTGATATACCGCTTTTCACGTCGGGAGGACGTCCCAAAGCGCTTCACAGAACACACTGTAAAGTGAATTGACTGTATAATTGTGGGTGAACGCGGCAGCCAATTGCGCACAGCAATGTCCCACAAACAGTCGTAGATTGAAAATGACCAATTTATTATTATTTTTGGTTTTGGAGGGATTATTATTAGGCTCTGTGTGGAGTAAGAAAACTTGCCCAAGGTTTCGCCCTCTGCCTGGAATTGAACTCAGCTCTCTCACTTGCAAAGCGAGTGCTCTAACCACTGAGCTACAGGACTCCACAAATCTGAGCTTGGAGAAATGCATAGTTTGTCTGTTTATCCCAAGTCACTACCATGTACAGAGTAAAGGTCATTAGAGTCCTCTCCTGCCTCCCCCTCGCCTTGCTCCCCAGACAGTTTTTTGGTCAGTTGGTATGTGTGAGTAGGATACGTCTGATCGGTGGAGGAAAGTGTTTCTGGTTCTGGTGAGGTCCGAGGCCTCATGGCTCAAGCTCCAGGAAGTGAGTCTCTCATGTTTGGTTATATGAAATAGTTCGGTTTATTGAATAATGTTTACTGTCAATTGGAGTATTCAATTAACAGGATTTTACTGTATTGTGAATATATGTATTGTCAACATATATGCTTGGTGCTGTATTTTTCGGGGGTATCTGTCACGTATGGAAACACATCAGTATGCTTCGGAGCATCCAAACCAGACTGAGAGTTCCACATGCGTACACATAAAATTTCCCTGTCAATGGAATGTGCACTCTCTCCCTGGTAACCCTGCTTACTCAATTCTTGAGAGTTTTATGCACAGGTTAGAAGAGCCAAGACTTGGAGTCCCTCACAGTGTGCATTGGAGTTTAACCAGCTAAAACCAACTGGTTTACCGTTGAAAGCACAAGCTTTGTGCTGCTTATTGAGCTAGGACCTACTCATTAGTACTTTGGTTTGTAGGCTTAACAGAACTGAGTGGTGTTGTGAGACAGCTCTCAAATATAATAAATTGTACTTTACGTTCCAAACTTAAAGGTTTCAACTTTATTCTCAGTTCACAGCCTCCT